TAGCTCTCTCTCTCTCTCTCTCTCTCTCTCTCTCTCTCTCTCTCTCTCTCTCTGTGTGTGTGTGTGTGTGTGTGTGTGTGTGTATGTAAGTACTCGAGCATGCTTGTGTATAAGTGCAAATGCCCAAGAGGACAGAAGACAGTATCACTTCCCCTGGAGCTGGATTTCAGGAGGCTGTGAGTTGAAACAGACTTTGGTCCTCTGGAAAAGCCATGCCCGCTCTTAACTGCTGAGTCATGTCTCCAGCCCTGTGAATTGACTATATCTGGTTTCACAGCATGTCACCAGACTAATGAAATACGGAGCTTGTCATGAAGAAAGAGGGACACACCTGTAAAGTTTCTAAATAGGAATTCCTACCACATCGATAATTACTTTATATCTGTGTGCCACAAATTGTATTACCTGGGTTATTGGATGAGAAGCATTCCTTTATTACATAGGCTATTTTAATGTTTTAAGTTACATGTTCTCTCGGGTCACTAGATCAGAGCTCATTGAAAATCTCCAAGCAGATGGCTGAATCTTCTCAGAGCAAAGTAAAGGAAGTCTTTCTCCTTGATCCTTTGTTCTGAACTCTGAATTATGTATTCCCCATGACTTAGCACAATCACCATGACTTACCCGCCGTCATGCAGACTAAGTCAAAGTGATTACCACAGCTATGGTTTTGACTTGGCACAGTCCATGGCTCTTTCTATGGCTGGAGATTAAACCGTGCTTTCATGCACAGTAATTAATTCCTCTACCACTGAGCTACTTGCTGGCTATATCTCATCCCTGTGTGCTAGTTCCAGCTAGTGAGTATTTGAGATACCTTGTCTTATGGGCACTTGGTTTCTGAGGTTTTCACTTGGCAAAGATTTTTCTCACTGGCTGTTTTATTAGCTCTTTCAATACTCCAACCATAGTGTTTTTAAACTATGTTGTCTAAATTGTTTGGTAATGATTAGAAAGTGGGGCCTTGTTAAAGGAGGTATGTTCCTACCGGGAGTGGGCTTTGAACTTCCAAAAGCCCATACTAGACCCAGTCTCTGTCTGCTTGCTTTCTGCAGATCAGGATATGAGCTCTTAGCTACTGTTCCGGTGCCATTCCTGCCTGCTGCCACACTCCCCACCATGATGGTCATGGACTAACTCTCTGAAACTGTAAGCAAGCCCCCAATTAAATACTTTCTTTTAAAAGTTGCCTTGGTCATGGTGTCTTTTCACACAAACAGAACAGTAAGTAAGACAACAGACTTAGCCTTGCACTTTCCTAGGTTAAGTCTGCATTCTATAGTTCAAGAAATCAACCCCACGGTGTCTCAAAAAGCACATCCCTCCCTCTGTCCCCACAGAGGAATCCAAAGTAGGTACCCCAGAGCTGGCCAAATGTGCAATGATCCATATGTGGTTTATCTTCCTCTACTGATGTATACAGTGAATGGCTTCCTTGTAGGTAGTCACAAGAGTGGCTCCCCTACATTCAGACAGGAAGGACAAAGAAAAAAGCATCATGCCCATTGAATATGCTTCTTTTTATTTTCCAATAAACAGCAATTTTCTTAAATGCTCTATCCTTCTCATTAGGCGTCTGCATACTACTTAGACTGGAACACAACCCCAGCTATAAAGAGTGAGACAGTCATTTGCCTGGGCTCCTTGCTACACTAACAAGAATAGGGTACGTATGTGGTCCAGAAAGGTGAGAGAAGAGATCCTGACGGGCAGTCCACATGTCTGCCACTGGACTTAGCAAGAAGGAATGGCCAGAGAGCGTGCGCGTCAGACTCTGTGCTCATACTGTCTGCTGCTCCAGTTGTTTTTTTTGCTAGAAAATAGAGGAAGCCATAACCAACCATGCCCTAAGTGGGAAAGGCATGCTATAATCAGATGTCACCCCGTGGGCCAACTATCAGAGAAACAAAGCGACAGTCTGATGGTGTCCGTGGGAATCTTTCGCTGTCTTCTGTTAAGAAGATGAGATGGGTGTGTTGTGATTTCTAAACTGCTCATGTGTGACTGCGGACCCTGGGGCCACAGGGTGGAGTCTTCATGCCCATTGGTGTATACAGCACGTTACCCTCGCTCAGCTGGTCATTTCTCTCTCTCCCTATTCTCTCAATTTATGTGTTTTGAAAAATTTCTGTTTCTTACTTTTCTTACCACAGGCTACTATTATGACATATTCCAGGTGTGTGTGTGGTATGTGTGTACGTGAGTGTGCGTGTGTGCACCTATGTGTACATATATTGTGAGTGCACATGTGGGTGTGTGCGTGTATGGTATCTGGGTGTGTGTGCATTCGTGTGCATGCACATGTGTGTGTAGTTGTTTTTTGTGTTCTCTTTTTCTCTTTAAACCTTTATTTTTTCCTTTGTTTCTTTCTTCCCATTTCTCTGTCTCTCTCTGTGTGTCTCTCTCTCTGTGTCTCTGTGTCTCTGTCTCTCTCTGTCTCTCTGTCTCTCTCTAGCTCTTTGTCTTTCTGTCTCTCTCTCTGTCTCTCCCCTCCTCTCTCTCTGACAGTCTCATGTAGCCCAGGCTGGGCTCAAACTCGCTTTTGAGCTGATGATCTCAAAGACGCAGCACTGTAGTAGGAAAGGAAGAAACAAACTGAGGCACGGAATTCAACATTATCCCTGTACATTAAACAACACCATCCGTTGTTCACATTACACAAGGACAGGTGGGGCTTGGATATTGCTCATTTGGTAAATGTACACGCCTGAGGCCTTGTGTAGACACCGGTCACAATGAATTTGCGTCCTACCTGACACCCGTGTTTAACTGAAGCCCCTCCCTTTTAAGAGCCTCCTCTGACTGAGGCAGCAGTAGAATTCCACCTAATTCCCTGATACAGGTCACTCATGTGAAGTCATTTAATTTTTTCTTTTAATGATCCTTTCTCCGAATGTGTTTCTAGTCTGAGCTAGGATGGGACGGGACTTTAGCATCTGAATGGGGGCAGAATTCAGTCCTTACTAGAGAGTTTGCATACAATGTGGATTTTAGATTGTGGGGTATAACCTAGCAATCGAAAGATGTTCTGGACTTGATGCCTGTGGAGATAAAGGTGTTAGAATAATGTAGTTCTTCATACAAGGGTGCATTATAGCATTGCAGTCATGGAGCAGTCAGTCATGGAGAGGAAGCAACCCCAGCATTGAGGAATTAGTGGTTGTATACCTCAATCAGGGAATAATACGATACAATACAATACAATAAACAAATAAAAAACTATATCTGTCTATTTGGAAGATGTCTGTGACATTAAATCAGATTCCCCCCAAGGCTAAGGACACAGCTCAGTGGCAGAGTACAGGCTGAACATCTGTGAGGCCTGGGGTTCAACCAAACGAACACATAGATAAAGAAATAGAAGGACTCCGATTAAGTTAAAACCAGGCAAGGCCTTTATATATATGTATTTCTGAATCATCAGAGGAAAGGAATGAAATGCCGTCAGTAATAGTAAGAACTGTGGACTCAAAGAAGGGCAATAGAGATTAAAAGTTAAAACATTTCTGCACTATGGCTCGGCTTACAGCGTGAGCCTAAGGCTTGGTGATTCATAAATGAACAAGTCACTGAGATCCAGCACTCACTGTACCACAGGCTGGTTCTAATGTGAGACACAAAGAAGGAAAATAGGAGAGACAGGAAGGGAGAGAAGCTGGTCACTCAAAAGCTTGGGCAAGTTTCCTCCTGGGAACCAGAAACTCCAAGATAAAATGTCAAAGTCACCTATGGGGATGAGGCAGGGTTCCTGAGGCCATCAACCCCAGCAAGGTCTTTTGAGGAATATTTGTGACTTAAGAGTTTAAAACAAAGTCTCTGCAGTGAGCCTGAGCAGGAAGCCTCAACTTTTCCTTTACAGAAGGGCGATCTTTAGGAGAAAGTAAACTAGCTTGCACCCCACCCCTTCCAATACTTTTGCTTAGGTGCAAATTACATTCTTTGAGCAATGTGATTTAGGCATTGCCCGGGGCCGGGGGGGGGGGGGGATAGGTTTCTAAAGGTCCTGTGTAAATCTAAAGCAAGTGTTATCCCTCACCATTAATAAACTAGTCAATTTGAGGACTTAACCTGAAGGGGATTCTTGACCTGGGGACACCAGGCTGCTGGCAGCTAGCACTGCAGGCTATACCGCCACAACCGGGTTTTAATCCATGTTATTCTTTATGATATATATTTTTAGATGCCATGACTGCACATCTTCTTTGTTAAGGTTTCAGAGAACCTAGCACCAGAGTGACAAGTAGCAGCAGCTGGCTTAACTAATGCTGGCCAGAGGTGGTAGGGTTTTTCCTGAACTAACTGGGTAGTTTCTTGTTTTCTTTGCTTCTGATGTGAACATAAATTGTGTACTTAAGGAAAAAAGAAAAAAAAATTAAACATACACACGCACACACACAAGCACACACACAAGCGCACACACACAAGCACACACACAAGCACACACACACACACACACACACACACACACACACACACACACACACCCCTCCCAATGTCCTTTCCCTGCTTTGTATGGGCAGAAGCTCAGAAGCTGCTCCTCCCTGGAGAAGCCCCGCCCTCTCCGACCGCCCAGTATAAGTCAAGTCTTGGGCGCTTTGCGAAGCATTCAGAGCGGCCTCCCGGGAAGGAGTTTCTGTGAGCTTCTGTAAGTAGACACACTACTATTTTTGAACCCTCTCCTTTCCCCTCTTCCCTCCTCCAACTCCTTCTTTCTCCCCGCCGAGCATCTAGAGGCTCGTTTAGCAAATGAGCGCGGGAGGCACCCCCACCCCACCGGTACTCAGTGATCCCCGGGTTCTGCACTTAGGAAGTTAGGGATAGTCTCGCGGTCCTGCACGTTCTTGGAAAGATTGAGACCCGCGCTAGGAAAAGGGCAAAGTCGGCCTGCAGTTCCATTGTAGGTGCATGCAGCGGAACTGCCAGCACCCAGGAAGGGCTGGGCTACAGTTTGCAGGATTGCTAAACTGATTCAAATATGAAGACAGGGGTGGGGATTTGCTCATGCACGGTAAAAGCCCTGCAGGTCAGGCCACGCACCCAGAGGATCCTTTGCAAGGAGGTGGTCCTAGACCAGTGGAGAGTTCAGAAGGACCAGGCGCTGCCTTTTTGGAAAAAGAGACGGAATTATGTAGATTCTTAAAACAAAATGGTAATCCGCCTGTGAAATAGATGGCTCCACGTGTGAAGGTGCTTATCACACAAGTCCCACAACCTGAGTTTGAGCCCTGAGACCACGGGTGGAAGGCGGGAACCCACTCCTGAAGTTTCTACAATCTCTTGGTGACACTCATGCGCCCTTGCCCACACACCTGCATCATGCACACACGAATTAATAATAACAATAAACTAGATTCAAGCTGAGCGAGCATGCCTGTTATCTCGGCATGTGGAAGCAAGAGGATGGAAGATTCCAAGACAGCTTCTGCTACGTAGTGAGTTCAAGGCCAGCCTGGGCTACACAGTCAGGCGCTGGAATCAGAAAAACAAGTTGAACTCAGAAATATGGGGTGAAATGATAGTTAATTAGAGACTGAGAAGAGTAAGAAGTATTAGTGAAAGGGCACAGAATCATAAGTGCGACTCTCGTCAACAATAATTAGTTCAAAACAAGCAGATTATGTCTCATAAAAATAGAAGTTAAAGAAGGTGACGGGTGTGCTAGGCACTCAACATTTCATACACTGTATCCTATCAAGGTAAGTTTTAGTTTTTTTTTTTTTTTTTTTTTTTTTTTGTCAGTTTAAAAATCTTACTGGGGGTGGTATTGGTGTGGCAGCTGGAGAGATGACTCAGAGGGTAAGAGCACTTGCTCTTGTAGAGGGTTCGGCTCCGGTTATCAGCACCACATGATGGTGGTTCTCAGAGGCTCAGATTGCAAGATCACTAAGGCCAGCCTGGGCTGCATGAACCCACGTCACAAATATCGACAAGTCAGTAGGAAAGGCTGGGCTTTGGATTGGGTTTCCACCTTCCATCCAGGGTGAGAGAGACATCGTGAACTAACTGGTTAGCCTTGATTGCATATCTGAAGAATTCACTGGGGTCCCACGTGATGATGTGCTGATCTGTGTCTCAAACCCTTGAAAGCACACAGCAACTGTGTTTATCTGTTGGTTTTGTCTTGAGACAAGTTTAAAACAATTGATTTCCTCCTTGGAGCCAAAACCAGAGAAAAATTAGATGGGGCCGCTGCGCCCCCTAGTGGCTCTGAGGTCCATGCTTTCTGTAGGAAAAAAAAAATAATTGGGGATTTTGGTGCGCTGTATTTGAGGCTTTTCCTGAAGCCTCACTGCAGGAGAAGCGAGAAACTACAAGACTTTTCACGTCTATTAGTTGTTTAATGTTCTAGAGAAAGTCCAGCATGGCCCGGAGAGAATTTGCCAGGTTACATTTTCTTTGCTTTTGAGTTTGTTTTAGCCTGTTTGCACATCCACACACCTTAACAGGAAAATCATGGGAGTAAAATTAGGTCAGACATGTGAAGTGCTGATACCAGAAAGTTCTAAATGGATGTAATAAGACGATAATATAGTAAATGATAGTAGGGCTGTTTTCTGGCTTCAGTGCTACACCTAGGGGCTATAAAATGGTCACTGAGTACATGTTTACCATGTCCTAGGTACATCAGGATGGTGCAGGCCAAGAGCTGGACCCTGAAGAAGCACTTTGAAGGCTTCCCTACTGACAGTAACTTTGAATTGAAGACAACAGATCTTCCACCCTTAAAAAATGGAGGTAATCGAGACCTTGGCAAGGGCTACAACCGTTTCATCTGCTACCTAACAGAGAATCCTGAAGTTTGACTTCAGACAAATTTTTTTTTTAAATTAGTTAACAGTCTGAGTGTTAGCAGTGTGGCTACTGTAAGCTGAATGATTCTTTTGTAGGCCTCATCCTGCTCAACAGTTTTAGAGAAGATCTCTTTCTAAGGTTAGCAGGCCTCCCGCTGGGCTCAGGCTGCAGTTCCTGGGAGGCCTTTGTAGCTAGCCAGATTGGGTTCTTTCCTTGTAGTGCTCCTGTGGTGCATCTAGAACAGCCCAGGTTGGCAAGCTCCAGTGTTTGAGAACTTTCCAAGCTTCTACTTATATTACTTTTCTTAAAAATCCCATAGGTCTAAGCAGGTTGTCCAGATTCAACCTACCTACCTACCTACCTACCTACCTATCTATGCTCCCTCCTCCTCCTCCTCATAATCTGAGATAACCACTGGGCTACATCCTCAACCCACAGAAGATGTGTTGACTGGAAGGGTGGCCTGTAGGCCAGGACACGGTGGTGGGAGGTATCTGTGTCCATTTGGCAATCTGCCACACAAACCTTTTTAGTTTTTTTTTTCTTTAAAGCTTTAATGTCATCATTCCCCATCCCCAGGAAGTAAGCTTCTTTGGTGAAGCTCCTGCCTGGGGACCTTATTTTTCATGGCTTTGACAGAGGAGGAAGTCTCCTGAGTCCTGGTGAGCCTCATGATGACAGTGAGTTGAGCAGTTGTGCCTGGCCAGAGCCCAGACTCTGAGTGTTCTCTGTGGGGTGTTGCTATGAGCAGACCTTTGAGAACAGGATGTAGTCACTGACCATGCCTGAGTCACTGCCCGAGTTTAAGTTGCAGTGGCCAAAACTTGGATCCAGAGTTTCAGAAAATTCACAGTTGAAAGTCACTTACCTTTGAGGTAGATAATAAAACACTATGTGTCCTGGTTAGTTTTTTGTCAAGTTGACACAAGCTAGAGTTACCTGGGAAGAGGTACCTCAACTGAGGAAAGTGGCTCCATCATATTGCCTATAGGCAAGTCTTTAGACATTTTCTCTAGAACATTCTTGAAGAACAGTTCATAGAGGAGGGCTCAGCTCACCATAGGCAGTGCCATCCCTGGATAGGTGGTGGTGTATAAGAAAGCAGACTGACTAAGTCATGTGAGTAAGCCAGTAAGCAGCGTTCCTTCATGCCTCTGCTTCAACTTCTGTCTCCAGGTTCCTTCCTAGAGTCCCTGCCCTGATGTCCCTGTATAATGGACTGTGATCAGGGAATGTATGGGGACATAAACCCTCTCCTCCCCAAGTTGGTTTTGATCATGGTCTTTTTCACAGCAGTAGGAAGTCAATTAAGATACGACATGAACATTGTAGCATGGTGGTTACTTATGTGGCTTTGGGTAAGTTACTTACCTTGACCTTAAATAGGATGGACCAATAGTTGAAAACAGCAAACAAATGGATCCATCTAAAATAATACAAGTAGCTCTGTCATCATCACCATCAACTGGGCTGGGCCGAATGGGAAAGCACAGGTGGGCTGGACGTGAAGCTCATGGTAAGAGCGGGTCTCTTACATGCACAAGGCTCTGGAAGCCATCCATGGCACGGCCAAGTTAATTATGAAGAGTACCTTCTGCCCCTAAGCAGAATGCCAGAACACTGTGGCCATCTGGTCTTGAGTCTCTAATTGCTTCTGGAATGCCTTCTTTTGTAGAGGTCCTGCTGGAAGCCCTGTTCCTCTCTGTGGATCCTTACATGAGGTATAGTTTCCCTCCTCGAATTCTTAGGTTGTATGTCGGTTCCTGTTTTGAAGCACCAGAGCTTGTCTTTTAAGGCAGGCCTTGCGGAAAATGCCCAGCTGGTCTGTTTTTCCCTGTGTTGCATCCGTGATGAGCCTCAGGGCTGCTCGGCGGCTGTAGGCAAGGTCGGCTCTGCGCAGTGTGCCCTCCACTACTCAGTGGAGTTCCTTCCAGAATTGATGTGGGGAAAGGGGTGGGAGCTGGCCACCCCACACTTTGCCATTTCCTACTGCAATAATTGAGCAGAAGTTACTAAGACGAAAACCAGCTCTTCTCATCTTCTAGTTACCAGTATTTTGTTTTAATTACGTGGTCCATAATTGACTCAAACGCATGACTCAGAAAACACTGAAGGTCAGGAAGGGAATAAATGTCCTTCAATGGTGCTTCAGCTATTTTTTAACCCAAGTGAGTAATACAGCCATAAAATAAATAAGTAAATACATAAATAAATCATATAGTATTTTTTTTCTCATAGCTTGCTGACAAAGGTTCAACTCTTGGTTGAAAAATACCATTTAACAATGCTAACTAGCAAATGGGCAGGGTGGCTCATACCTTGAGAAGCTGAAGCAGAAAGACCCCAAGTTAAGACTAGTTATCGGGAGACTCTATTGAATGCAACAAAATGTTAATTTCCATCCTTTTGGGGTTGGTTAATATTGGGGTAACATTAGTTTGTGCTGTATTTTGAATGCCATTGACAGAAACTTGCCTCCAAACATAGTGGTAGGACTCTCATATTCATAGAGTGCGTACTTTAGGGTCTGAGGCAGAAACACTTCACACTGTATTACACGTGGTTGTGCTGCCCAGGCAGACTGGGTATTGTTTCTGTATACAGTGCCCCAGCCATTTGACATTGGCTTGATATTCAAGCTGTTTTCTTTCAGCTGGTCTTGCACACTAAGGATGGATTTTTTTTTTCAGAGTTGCAGCAAAAAAACTGAAGGAGGGCGACAGTATGATGGGCGAGCAAGTGGCCAGGCAAGTATTTCCACAGTCCTGCTGTTTGGATAAGTGTCTCCTCTGGCTCCTGCCTGCCAGGCCTACGTCTGTCCACCTGCTGCCCACTACAGCTCCCTCTCCAGCCTGTGTGGCTGTGTGGCTCCTGGGAGAGAAGGAAGAATGATGTGGCTGTGACCAAGGACCCGAGTGAAATGACCTAAAGGGAGGAATGGCTTGCTGGCTCATAGTTTCCGAAGGTGGCTCTTGCCTCTGTTGATTCGGAGCCTGAACTGAGAAGGATCATGGCAGCAGAAGTCTGTCGCAGTGTCTTCCTGGCTCTAGGCAGAAAGGAGGAGAGAGAAGGATATGTATGGGTATGAATATGGACAGATACGGATATAGATGATAGATATAGATATAGATTTAAATATAGATGATATAGATTTAGATATAGGTGATATATAGATGATAGACATATAGCTAGACAGACCAAGAGCACCGTGCTAACTGGCTTTCATCTCTCTGCTCTTTTATTCCGTCCGAGCTCTCAGCCTATGGCAGCCTATGCTGCCTACATTCAAGGACGTTCCCACATTAGTTAATCCCCTTATAGGACATATCCAGAGGTGCACACTGACTCAGCTCCTAGGTGGCTCTCCACCAGGCGAGTTGACAACATAAACTATCACAAATGTAGAATTGTCATTTCAACCTCTTTGCCATCCTTAACTTTTTTTTAGTGATGTAAATAAAGCCCTATATATTTATTCATGATTAGTGTAAAAAACAAATACATAGAAATTTGGAAATGGAAAGGTTTATCTCTGAGTCAGTTGTTAATGTATTACTTCAAACCCTGTTAAGTACAGGCATTTATGTGTTTTTGATATGCCTGGCTTTTCTCAGTAAGTCATACATTGTTGTCAGTGCATAAATACACCATCTGTATTTGTTAAAAGCTATAGATTATTCCATCACATTCTCCCATTTAACTAAACCTACTACTGATAACAGCTATATTCAAAGTTTCTACTACTAGTAATTCCTAATGAAGCTTGCCTCTCTCTCTCTCTCTCTCTCTCTTCCCCCCCCTCTTGTGTGTGTTATTTGGCCACTTAGACAAAAATTATTTATATTATATTCCCCAAAATATAAATTCTACACAAAGGTGTGTGTATCATGTGTATCATATATGTATGTATGTATGTATGTATGTATATATATAAATTTACATATATACTTTTAAAATTGTGTGCTATATTATTTATAATTATTAGTGTGTGCTGTTGGGGTGCAGGCATGCACGGACCATGGTGCACAAATGGAGGTCAGGACAGCTTCCAGGAGTCAGTTCTTTCTCTTCAACTGCTGTGGGATCTGGGATTCAAATCAGGTTTCCTGGCTCGAGGAGCACGCGCTTTTACTCACTGTGCTGCCTCACTGCCCTGAGATACATATTTTTATGCTGAAAAGATGTTGACAAATTATTCTTCAAAAATAAATGGCATGGGTGTCTGCTCGCTTGAGCAGTATCAAGGAACCTGTTTGCCTGATCCTTGGGCCCCTCCTTGGCCATTGGTCTTGGTGATCTGAGATGAACAGGGGGTGGGGTATGGTGAGAGTAGAGAGGACCCTTCAGTTCAGTTGGCATTGTTACTTGTGATGTTAGTCTTCTTATGAGTTCTTTGTCTTTTGTGAGTTACATTTGTGTCCTTTGTATAAAAAAGTCGGTAGGACTTTTCCTCTGCTCTATTGGTTTGCAGAGACTGCTTCTGTACCAGGGGTGTTAGTGTGACAAATATACGGGTCTTTGCCTTTCTCTAGTGTCTAATCATAGCTTAAAATTATGGACATTTGTAATTGTGGCTTTCAGGTTTCATCCCATTTGCTTAAGAAATCTTCCAAAATGATGAAAAAGAGGTAGTCCAGCATCCAGTTTCCTGAGGAAGACAGCAAAATCCTGCTGATAGCAGCAAGGGACTAAAAAAGGGGGGCTTAGTTACTTGGGGTCTTTTCTCTTTGACTGAACAGCCCCTCATAGGCCAAGTGAGAAGCTCAGAGTTTGCTAACTATTCATGAGCTAGAGAGAAAAGAAAAGAAAGGAAGAAACACATACAAACACACACACACACACACATACACACACACACACACACACACACACACACTCTGGTCATACCCAACCACCTGTTGATCAGTTTCACAAGTGCACATGCATACTTATATACATGCACATGTATGTACATATGTATGTATGTACATACATATAGACAGACAGACACGTATATATTTGGTGGATAGAGCAGAGCCTCAACAGTCACACTTTATTTCTTCTCTCAGCCTTTTTATACATTCATAGATAAAAGTTCTATATAAAATTAACTCATAGATAAAATGTTACATTAAAAAGAAATTACAAAAGGATGTGGATAGTAAGTTCAAAGCAGTGTTGCATTTTATAAGCTCATTATAAGTTCAAAGCAACAGTTTCACATGGCCTTGCTTTATCATAGTGTACACCTGTGGCCTCATCCTTGGGCCTGACCTAGAATGAATGTTTTTCCTTGATCACAAATATGTCCTAAGCCTATTTTTCTTCTTAGTGCAGTTTATGGAAGCTCATTGCATTCCTTGCTATGCAGTCTTTATTTACTGTTCTATGATGGAGGGGCACATTCTTTTCTTTATTCTAATTTTATTACATCTTTCTGACAAAACAATTAAAACCCTCTCCTTACATTTTCTTCCTAAAATTATTTGAATCAAATCAGAAATGCTATAAAGTCATTAATTCATCTAAACAGCATCAATTCATGAAAGTTCATCTTCATGTTGATCTTGAGGAAATTTACACAATAGTGTGAGCTGATGTCCAAGAATTGTTAGCTATGTAATAGTGGCAGGAAAGGCATATCAGTAGCAAGAAACAATCTGAGATGAAGTTTCTGGGCTATGTCTATGTCCCTCCAGAATGGGCCCATAGCAGCTATGCAAAATGGTGGGCTATCTCTAGGAAACTCGCTTGCCACAACCTTTCCTAGATGACTTTTGTCACTTTTGTATTTTTAATTAAAAAATCTCAGTGGCTTAATTTTTATGTTAGAATATTTTTTTTCTTTTCCAGTGCAGAGTATCCTCCCCACCTGTTTTACTTATCAGCAGCCTTTCTTCTGTAAAGTTTTATGTTTCATGCTAATCAAGGAAATGAACATACTTGTGTTGGCAGAGGATGGAGGACCCTTGCTCAAAAAGGGATGTGGGCAGGGACAGGGATGGATGCTGGGCTAGTTGTGAATGTTCTTCTCTGAAGGCTCTCACAATGGCTAAGAGTTTAAGGGGAGATCCCCAGGGTGTCAGTCATGGACTGTTAACCTCAGCGCCCTCTTGTGAACATTGCCCACACAGATTCCTGACTCCCATGAATGGGAAAAGTTATCACATGTCTTACTATATTTTTATCTTTCAGAGTTGTGGAAAGTAAAAACTCAGCCTTCCCGACAGGAACGATTGTAGTGGCTTTATTGGGTTGGACATCACATTCCATTTCTGATGGGAATGGACTGAGAAAGCTGCCTGCAGAGTGGCCAGACAAGTTACCACTGTCTTTGGCTTTGGGAACAGTTGGCATGCCAGGGTAAGTGTTGTGGCTAGGTTTTGTTTGTCAGAATGTCCAACGCTGTCACTTAATAAACAAGGAGAGATGTGAGGCAAAGACTGATGAGAGACAAATGGTAGAAAAAAGAAAGGAAGAAGCTCAAACTGAGTTAGTGGATAAATACAGAAAACATTACATATAAACGAATACTGTATAACCCTTATAAAGAAGGAAATCTTGACAGTTATGATAATGTAGATCAACCCGGAGGACATTAAATGAAGTAAGTCAGGTACAGAAAGACAAACACCACATGATCTCATTTTTATCTTGTGTCAGCTTCTTTCTGTGAGAAATGCCTGGGAGCAGACATTTTAATAGAGGGAAGGTTTCTGCTGGATCAAGGTTTCAGAGGCTTCAGTTCATCACTGTTTCTTTGATGGACATGGATGATCATGGTGCCAGGGGAATTATGGAGCAGACTTGCCTATCCTTTGGCACCCAGGAAGAAGAGAAACACAGTAAGGAGCCAGAGATGAGATGCACCTTTCTAGGGCATTGCCCACAGTGATCTGCTTCCTCCAACTGGTCCCTACCTCCTAATAATGCCCTCATATTATGAATCCATCATTCGATAATGCTTTGATTACATCAGAGCCCTCATGATTTAATCACTTTGCCAATACCACATCTCTGAACACAGATGCTTTGGAAACCAACCCCTGGGGAAGCCATGAGCCGTGGGGGTGGGGGTGGGGGGGGTAGAGTCAGCTCATCTCCAAACCGTAATATAAGTGGAATCCATAAAAGGGAGAGTGTAATGATGGGTCCTGAGAGACAGGTTGGTCCAAAGATATAAACTTTATTTAGGAGATGTACGTTTAAGAGATACTGTTGCTGTACAGCAGGACAGACATAGAACAATAAGTAAGGTTAAAAATTAGTTATGTCTACGTTAATTAGCTCAATTTAGCTATTCTAACATGTATGTGTATTTAAAACATGTTATGTACTATACACACGTATATTTATCTACAATTGTGTAGTTCTTACTTGTCAGTTAAAGGTAATGTACAATTATTCTTGAGGCTAAGTGAAAGGGGCAAAATCATGTCAGAGATGCCCCACTTGTTAAAGGCCTCAACATCCCCCCAGTGTGGCCAACGTGGGAAATCGTTTTTTAACACACAAGAGACATTGAAAACCAACCTGTCTTCAGGCTTATGTAATCCCAGCTACTCAGAAGTTGAGGCAGGAAGATGATGAGTTAAAGGCCAGCTTGAGACATAGCTAGATGCTATCTTTAAAAAAAATGTAAAAATAAAAATAAATCAAGCCAGGCATGGTGGCACATGCTTTCAATCCCAGC